AATATTCAGCCTCGAGAAACGTCAATAATCTCGTTCAAGCTCGTCAGAGCGCAACCAAACATCGTCAAAATCTTATTTGAGACACGTTCGTGATACAATTTTGTTATTCCCTGTATGTTTGTAAACATGACAAATATCTTACATAATTGTCCAGTTAAATGTCGTTAAAACAACGATACATTAGATTCTCCCTTATATGACCTAATTAGGAAACGAAACATTCCAATAAACAGAGACAAAAACACTCTCTGTTATTTTTCTTGGAAGGAAAAAGAAGTCAATAACGTTTCAATGGAAATCCCGGAGGAAAAAACATGGCGCCTCTAATGTCGGATGTCAACGACAGAACTGCTAAGCAGACACCGCGAGTTAAGGCTGCCTCGCGAACAAACAAGTCTCTTTTTTTTCTGCAAATCATTGACTGCACCGGTGCAGTTTACTTGTACCCGTTGCCGAGCACCGTGACAATGACTATCGTAGGCAAGGTCGACCGATTGGAGTCGAGAAACGGTGAAGAAAACGGTAGGAGGGGAGAGCCAGGCAAGGTCGCGAGGACTGATAGAACAGGAAGGAGTAGATTCTTGACTATCGAATTTTATTCTTGACACGAGTCCGCATTCTCAGCTAGAAAATATGGCTTATTTTTACGGTTGGTCACACCGTGTGAAAGTTTCACGCGTTGAATACCTTGGGTGCCATTATCAGACAAAAACGCTGCTCGTTTAAGAGGGCGGAGTGGTACCGATTCGAGTAACTAGGATTTTTCATAGGACGGACCAGGTACTTTAATTTTATTAACAGTGTCGAGTGTTTAATATTTTGCATTTTGCATTAAAATTTAGAAATTTTATAATTTTAGAGTAGTAAGAGAGTCCAGTAGAAATTTTTTTGTCAGCTCCAACGCGCACTTATTTTCAAGAGAACTTCATTTGTTTGATGAAAAGGCACACGCACAATCTGCGAATCGTGCAGGTAGGTCAACACGAATATCTGATCCGCTGGTATTTCGCGGAGACGAGCCACGCGTCACGGTTATGGGACGAAAATATTTATTCGCACGGGAGATACAGACGACGAAGGCTAACTTTCAAAACAGCTTTGTCTCGATCGTGGAACAAATAACCCGAGCATTGTTCGAGTCAACGACAAGGAATCTTATCGATCATCTGCGAAATGAGCAGCGTTTTCGTCTGATAACACATTGTTTCGCAATCAATCGAGCTTCTGCCTTGCTATGTTTATGAAAACTGCACACACTCGGTAAAACGATGCAATTATTCTCAACGAGGATGTACGTCGAATAACAGTGTCTATTGGAGCAATCTTTGAGACCATAAATTCTCGTTAACTCGTCGTACCGACGGTGATAGTTACATAAATATATAACTTCCCCACTGTACACGACTAATGAAAGTTAAATTTTCTATCTAGAATTCAAACTCCTCTGTACTTACTTCATTTCATAGAAATTGTAGTTTAAACCGATTTCCCGTTCGTCCTCCGGCTTATATCTCGCACGAGGAATCCCATGAAACAGTTAAGAACACTTGGTGCGGCATAGCGCACGTTTCTCTATACATATATAGTCACGTACAACACCTACGGCTTTGTCCGCGTCGAGCAAAGAGAATACATCGTAAGAACGATGAGAGTCAATGGAACTTCAGATTTCTTTTCCCCAGTCTTCCATATTTGATACATTTCATATGCACTGACACCGTGTTTCAGCCTTTTCTGCACGGTTTATCTAATCGCTCCAGCCTGGCCGGTTATTTTTCTAGGTCACCAGAAAACGTTACATAAAACTAGTCTTCTTCGTGTCGCGTATACCGATGAAAGGGGTTGAAGAAACGCGCGGACCCTTCAACGGACGCGCGTTCGAACGACGTCGCGCGACCTCTTTTCCGCCGCGGCAACTTTCATCGAATACGCGTTCGATTTCTTTCGCGTTAGTTAATTGATAAAAATGCGAAATACGGTTAAACGACGGTACGAACAACAATCCGTATGCATGTTCACCGTACGACCGTTGGCGCAACACTGAACAACTGCGTATCGGTCGTAACTAACGGCGCCTCGGAGCGCGCGATGAGTCGCGCAGCCGCGTGATCGCCTACACGACAAATCGGCCGCCTGTTTGCCGCCAGAATTAGACAAAAGAATCGAGCTCGACCGTTTAAAAAGCTGATTGGGTTAACAGGGGGTTCAATTTCTAGGGGTCGCGGATCTTTGTTGCGTACTTAACTGCATTTTCGCGATGTCTTTTCTCGGTAGGAGACGCGATGGCGAACCGGAAGCGCGTTGGCGAGTGATAAAGATTAAAAAGAACCATTCCTTTATACGATTCCCGCGGAAACAAGGGGCTGGACTGCGGCTGATTTCCTAACAGGGAATTAGCGAACGTCCATTGTACATACATAGTGAGCTGCAAAAGTATTCTCACACCGTTTAAAACAGAATACCTCATTTATACTCACATAAAAAAGTTGAAAAATTACCTTTCAATATTTTTTTTCATCATTTCAACGGATTGTAATTTTTTAAAATGATAAAAGCACATATCTTAGTAAATTAATTTCTATAGCTTCTTAAAAAACCACAAGTCAGTTGGTCCAATTTTAAATGAGGTATTCTGTTTTAAATAGTGTTTAAATACTTTTGTGGCCCACTACATGAAGGGAGATTGTAGGGTCCCCCCCCCCCCCCCAACTTGGACTTCCCTTATGTAAGGACAAGCGAGGATAGGGAGCTTCGATGGATTGCCCTAGGAGTATTACTAGATTACCATAAGTTCTCTCTACGTACACATACTCTTAGCCAAAAGAAGCTTACATTGCACCTGTATATTCTATGATAGATAAAGTAAAATTTCTATTAGGTAATGTTGGATTGTTACTAATAATAATTCGCCAGTTAGTGGGCAAAAATGAATTGCGTTATGTACGAGAAACACTGCTTTTAGTCAAAATGATATAATAGACTGGATGCCATTGGGACCATAGGCCTGGAACTCTTTGTACCTAGGGGTTTGAGTGATAGATTGAATTTTTAAGTGGAAAAAAATGTAAAAAATTAAATGCGGATTATTCCATGCCAAATCGATCATTTTTCCACGTCACTAACGGCGATTTTGTTCTAAATGAAATTTGTTTACACTTATCGATGTCACAAAGTTAATTATCGAGGTTGAACCATTGTTGTTAGCGCAGCGACTCCGATAAATTTAGAGTCCCCTACAGTTCGATAAGCTCAATTTATCTAAGCAATCGTTTGCCCAAAGTGAATCCTGTTTGTAACAAACAGCCCTATTGAGTGGACACCTGCAATAACAATGTAGACTTGTTTTATGGTATTAATGGTGAGGATATGTGATAGTATTTAATTGAAAGTAATCGCTACCTCCGCGTATTATTGACGGTCACGACATTAACCTTGAGCAGAATAGATTGACTCGACCCCACCCTGTTCATACGAACGTAAATGACATTTCTTCTTGAAGAGATCACATTTGCCTACTATAGTAAACGAGATTCCCGATTCAAATTGAATTGATCTGTTCAGCTGCGTAAGCCCTGGCCACGAAAACAAGATATTTTACGACCTACGTATTGCGTTACGGTGGAAAACAACAAGTTCACTGTAGCAATCATCCCAGACGACCATGCGAAAAGTATGAACTTTCTATGTGTATATCGAACATTTTAGTGTCGATGATAACGACATTGTCTCCGACCAAAGTGACCATGACAACCATCGTCAGAGGATTAACTGTTACAATTACAAGATAAAAGCAATCGACCCTTAATCCGCGGTTCTGTGTTCCAGGATCTACCATAGATAACAAAGTAATAATAAGTTCAAGTTTAGACAAATGAAATAGCGAACAATGCTGCCTCTACGTCTTACTAATGACGCTAAACTTTTAAACATTGTAGTTTTTAATTAAGAGTTTTACGTAGATTTTCTCTTATTAAGACCCCTGTGCGACGATCAAGGAAACTCGTGCTCGTTTCCAGGGGTCGTGCCATCCTTTATTGTGTTGCTTCGTTGTCGACAATGTTGGTACATCAATAACAAACGATTCGACGAAAAATTACGTCGAAATTTCGAATGACAGTCCTCGCCACACGCAATCATCCTGTCCTTCTAGAAAGCAACAGTGATAATAATCGGCTGTTGAAAATGGTAGCTCAGCGACTTATTGTTAGATAAATTTAGAACATTTATAAGGAGAACTACCCAAGTGTTACACTCACTTATTAATGAAACTTTGTCAGCTTGTAGAGTTCGTCGAGCTGAACATGCCTATACCCCCTTTTGTGGGCAGACGACTAATTGTTTAAAAAATATTAATAATTAAAGTTAATTACTACTTACATTGGGAAGTATGACAGACTCACACATACAACTCGCAATCTAGAAATCCACGGTTCAAATCTTTGATTCCCAACATTTCTTTTTTTTTTAATGATAATTTGTCTCTTTTTGAATAACTATTATATAAAAATTGTCATAAAAAAAGTTTTTTTGGGAACCTAGGATTTGAACCAAGGACCTTCAAATTGCCAGTCAAGCGTCGGCTGCGTGGTTAAACGCATGGCTTACAATCTTAAGGTCCTCGGTTCAAATCCTGAGTTACCGTTTTTTTTTTTTTTTTTTTTTTTTTTTAGGCAATAGCTATTCAAAAAGAGACAAATTATTATTTAAAAAACAAACAAAATTTTTGGAACCAAGGATTTGAACCGTGGATCTCTAGATTGCGGGTTGCATGTGTGAGTTTGTTATACCTCAGAATGTAAGGAGTAACTAACTGTAATTGTTAATATCTTTTAAACAATTAGCCGCCTGCCCCCAAAAGTGGGTATAGGCGCGTTCAGCTTGACGCGTTCTACAAGCTGGCAAAGTTTCATTAATAAGTGAGTGTAACACTTGAGTAGTTCCCCTTGTTAGATGAATAACGCGTTTATCGCTTAGGCAGCCATCAGTTTCACGGTTTAATGTAACTAAAATGGTTTTATCTGCACGATGATTATGCATGGCGATTTCTTAGGTCTCGTTCAGTGTATTAGATCATCCCATAAACTGGCATCCTGTAATCTCGTATCTGATCTCATGGTAACGTACAATGTAACTGCTAGATTCCTTTGCATCGCAATTGTACAGATTTATATAGGATTATCCAAATTGAGTGTCACATCTTCAAATTGAAATAAAACGCAAAGTATGTGATTTTTTTATAGTTACTTTATTTCAACTCAGTCTACTGTATGACATTAATTATCAAAGACAATATTATTTAAATGTCCTCCTCAGCTTTTTTCACGAGCCTGATGCATTTCACCCAATTTTTCATTATATTTTCACACAAGTAGAATTCAATTTCATGAATAGCGACGGTAATTTTGTTGCTCAGCTCGTCAATAGACTTTGGATTATTGCTGTAAATTTCACTTTCCATAAACCCCATAAAAAAATCTAATGATGTTAATTTATTCGGTCTTGGTGGGAATTGGTGTTTCCTCCTCGTGAAAAATTACTCATTCGTTAAATTTGGTCAAACGTATCAAGCTCGCAAAAGGAAGCGGAGAAGGACCGTCAAATGCGATTGTTTTTCATAATTAATGTCATAAAATAGACTTTGTATTAAAATAAAGTAACCATACAAAAATCAAATACTTTGCGATTTATTTCAATTTGAAGATGTGACATTCAATTTGGATAATCCTATATATAAGCGAAGGAAAAAGTGGCCAAAAAGTGTTACAGGTGTTTGCACATGGACAAATAAAAACGGTGCTTTTCGCAAGACTGCCGAAAGAATCGATAGGAAACGCATGCGTCACGCAGAATCACGTAACACTTCGTTCAATCTTGCCCGAACTCGCATGCTACCCAATGCAATAAGAATTGGAGCAGTATCAAAAGGTACAGGGCGATGCCTCCCACGACCTGCAAAAAAGTTTTATTCTAATTTAATTGAAATGGGAGGAATTTAAACTAAAGCGTGTGGCCGTAGCTTTGCCTCTTTCACTATTGTATACTCTACAGGGCAAAAGGGCAATCTTACCTCTGCAAGAAGCGACGAGTTCATATCGATCATTTTCGCTGAAAACGTCGTATCACAGTGCAGTAATTGCAACGAGAAAAGCTCCAGCTGTAATTTAATAGAATTTATAAGCAATTTTTGAAAGTCCGATGAATTTATTTCTTACCTCGCGTTTCACGGACAAATCGGTCGCCTCGCTAAGGGCATCGTGAAGAGTAGTGCGGATTTGTCCAGCTTTATTAGTCGCCGTTTCACACGCCCAAATCATCGTAACAAATTTAAGAAAATGATATAAGGCAGAAGAAATATAGGGCCAGTACCAAAATTGTAGATATTTCTGACCACCTTCCCCGCCGTGAACCCGTAATAAATTAAAGTACAAATTAAAAGTGACAATAGTAAAAGTCGTGACAGCTGTTACTACGAGTTGCGTGATAAATATTTTGTTCAGTAATTGTAGAATATCAGTGACCTGCAGGTATTTAGCTTCTAAATTCTTCAATTTCATCAGCAACGAAGGAGTCCTCTGTTTGTGCCGCAGAAATGTTTTGGTGACGGGTTTTTGAAATTTATCAAGTTCTTCGATGAATTTCATGAAACAAGCTTTTAAAATACACACCGAGTTAATGTAGAACATGTCCATGATGAAGTTCACCGATACCATGAATAGTGTGGTAAAATTTCTCACTGTCATAAACGTGTTTCCACTTTTAACGCAATTGAACACGTGACTTAAGAGAAATAAAAATACAAAAATATCCTTTGAATGAACGAATTTCGCCATGTCGTTGAAGTCCTTTGGTGCCACCATGGAGGACGCCTCCGTGAGCTCCTGAAGAAAGCGCAATATGGCTTTACATTGAACGTACGTTAACAAGACAGTACTTCCAGCCGTAATGAGATAAAAAATCTGATCCATTTTTTTTGTTAGAGTATTGTATACTGATGAGGCGGTATTAATTTCATATCCCACATAGAATATCGCGATCAGGAACATGACCAAAACGATCATTGAATAAATCACACGAATTCTTGAAAAGGTATATCCTGAAGAAACACATTTGAAAGGAAAAATTCCGAATATACTTGCGATGAAATAACAAGGGTACATCAGCGAAACGAGATCCGTTGCGTGAAATAGTTTCCATTTCTTGTTCTCCTTTAATTCTGTTATCTTCCAAGCTTCAGACATCGTCCTTTCGCAACTTGGAAACTTACTGCGGAAAAAATTTGACGGTACTCACGAAAACTGTCTGTCTGACAGACTAATAGGAACAAACTTCGCTATAAAAGTAGACAGACTGCTTACGTTTTCAATAAACTTGAGATACTGATGTTCAATCATAGATGTAGGACGCTTGAAAGATTACACAATTGCAAAATGCAATACCATAATGCATACCGTGAATAAATCAATTGTCGCAAGGTTTGCACTTAGCATGATTAAAAGTGGTGCTGTAAGATTGTAATTTACTCCAGGCTTTTCGCCATAATTTTATCTTCAACATTCTATTAAAAATCATTACATTAGAGCTTCTTCTCAACAGAGCGTGACAAGCTGTGATTGTACCAATAGTACCTACTACATAAGTGGAAATAGAGCACACTATCTGCAAGAAAAAAAATGAAAGAATTAAACGTCAAATTCTAATTGCAAATTAAATTAATCTACCTTTGTCAAAATAGTTGCGTCCATCGAGAAACCCATCGATGAGAAGGTCCTGTCGCACTGCACCACTTGCGAAGAGATTAATTCCAACTACGGAGGTGCAAATTAATAGTCATCCATTAAAATTAATGAGATTTTGTTCATAATTTTTCCACCATTTCACCGTTTTAAATCTTACAAGTATTTTCATAGCTATTAAAGCATCACAATCACAAATTTTCAGGACTATCTGTATGGTGTTAGGAATCTGTATGAAGCTAAGAAATATTAGTCCGTCTTAAAAACGTGGTATATTAAAAAATTGTTGTTATTTAAATAATTATTTCAACCCATTTCCAATAGTTTCCGTACTTTTTATTTTGAATGTGTATATTATCACCCTTCACATAATAACGAATTTTTAAATAAATTTATAAACTTCCTTCTTTTATCTATGATAGGCATCAACAGTTTTATCTAGCAATTACAATGTATCATATACCATTCGATAAGCTCAATTATTCTAATCAATCGTTCGCCCAAAGTAGTTCATGTTTGTAACAAACAGCCCTATTAAATAGACACCTTCAATAACAATGTGGAATTTTTTTATGGTATTAATGGTGTCGATACGTGATAGTATTTGGTTGAAAGTAATCGCCAAATCCACGCATTATCGACGGTCGCGACATTTACCTTGAGGAGAGTAGATTGACTCGACTCCACCCTGTTCATGCGAACGTAAACGACATTTCTCCTTGAGGAGATCACCTTTGCCTACTCTAATAAACGAGATTCACGATTCAAATTGAATTGATCTGTACAGCTGCGTGAACCCTGGCCACGAAAACAAGATATTTTACGACCTACGTATTTCGTTACGGTAAAAAACAACAAGTTCACTGTACCAATCACCTCAGACGACCATGCGAAGAGTATAAACTTTCTATGTGTATATCGAACATTTCAATGTCGAATATAATGACATTGTTCGGGACCAAAGTGACCATGGTACAAAGACCCTCTAAGGACTAATCGTTACAATTACAAGATAAGAATAGTCGACCCCTAAATCCGCAGTTCTGTGTTCCAAGATCTACCATAGATAATAAAATAACATGTTCAACTTTAGACAAATGAAATAGCGAACAATTCTGCTTCTATGTTCTGCTAATGACACCAGACATTTAAATATTAAAGTTTTTAATTTTGCGTTTTACTTAGCCTTTCTCTTACTAAGACTGCTGCGTACGAGGATCAAGGAAAGTCGTGCTCCTTTCCAGGAATCATGCGATCCTTTATCGTTTGCCTCGTTGTCGATAATGTTGGTACATCGACAACAAACGATTCGACGAAAAATTACGTCGAAATTTCGAATGCCAGTCCTCGGCACAGGCAATCATCCTGTTCTTCTACAAGGCAACACCGATAACAATCGGCTGTTGAAAATGGTCTACTGTCATTAGTTCAGCGACTCCGATTTTAGATCATTTAGATGAAAAACGCGTTTATCGCTTAGCCACATATGACGTTGACGCTTTAGTGTAACCAAAATGTTTTCATCTGCACGATCATTATGCATGACGATTTCCTGGGTCTCGTTCAGTGTATCAGATCATCCCATAAACTGGCATCTCGTAATCTCGCACCTGATTTCATGGTAACGTACAATAAAACTGGTAGATTCCTGTGCATCATAATTGTACAGATTTATATATAAGCCAAAGAAAAAGTGGCGAAAAAGTGTTACAGGTGTGTGCGCATGGACACATCAAGCGGTGCTTTTCGCAAGACTGCCGAAAGAATCGATAAAAAACACATCCGCCACGTAGAATCACGTAACTATTTCTTCGTTCACTCTTGCTTGGTCTCACATACTATCGAGTTCAATAAGAACTGGAACAGTATCAAAAGATACATAGTGATGCCACCCACGACCTGCAAAAAAGTTTGCATCTAATTTGATTTAACTGGGATGAATTTAAACTCCAGATTTTGCCCTCAACTTTACCTCTTTCACCATATATTGTACAGGGCAAATAAACGGCAATCTTACCTCTGCAAGAAGCGCCGCGTTGATATCGAACATTTTCGCAGAAAACGTAGTGTCACAGTGTAGTAATTGCAGCGAGAAAATCTCCAGCTGCAATTTAATAGTATTTATGAGCATGGTTTTAAGATTCGATGAATTTGTAGCTTACCTCTCGTTTCACCGACAAATCGTTCGCCTCGCTAAGGGCATCGTGAAGAGTAGTGCGGATTTGTTTAGCTTTATTAGTCGCCGTTTCACACGCCCAAATAATCGTAACAAATTTAAGAAAATGATATATGGCAGCAGGAATATAGGGCCAGTACCAAAATTGTAGATGTTCCTGATCACTTTCCCCGCCGTGAACCCATAATAAATTAAAGTACAAATTAAAAGTGACAATAGTAAAAGTCGTGACAGTTGTTACTACGAGTTGCGGGGTAAATATTTTGTTCAGTAATTGTAGAACATCGGTGACCTGCAGCAGTTTTCCCTCTAAATTCTTCAATTTCATCAGCAACGAGGCAGTCCTCTGTTTGTGGCGCAGAAATGTCTTGGTGACGGGTTTTCGTAATTTATCAAGATCTTCGTTGATTTTCATGAAACATGCTCTTAAAACGCACGCCGAATTAATGTAGAACATGTCCTTGATGAAGTGTACCAATATCAAATACAGGGCGGTAAAATTCCTCGCTGTCTTATACGTGTTTCCGCTTTTAACACAATTGAAGACGTGACTTGAAAGAAGTAAAAATACAAAAATATCCTTTGAATGAACGAATTTCGCCATGTCGTTGAAGTCCTTTGGTGCCACCATGGAGGACACCTCCGTGAGCTCTTGAACAAAACGCAGCATCGATTTATATTGAGCGTACGTTAACAAGACAGTGCTTCCAGCAATGATGAAATAAAAACTCTGATACAGTTTTTTTGGTATAGTATTGGGTATCGAAGTGATTGAAATATTTTCATATCCCACATAGAATACCGTGATCAGGAACGTGGCCGAAATGATCATTGAATAAATGACACGACTTCTGGAAAAGGTATATCCTGAAGAGTCACATTTGAAAAGAAAAACTCCGAATATGTTTGCGATGAAATGGCAAGGATACATCAGCGAAATGAAATCCGTCGCGTGAAATAGTTTCCATTTCTTGTTCTCTAATACTGTTATCTTCCAAGCTTCAGACATCGTTCTTTCGCAGCTTGGAAAGTTGCAGCGGAAAAGTTTATTTTTACTTACGAAAATTGTCTGTCCAACAGACTAATAGAAAAAAACTTCGCTATAAAAGTAGACAGACTGCTTACGTTTCCAATAAACTAGAGATACTGATGTTTAATCATCGATGTAGGACGCTTGCAATAAGATAATGCATTACGTGAATAAATAATTGGTTGCATAGTTTGCTTTTAGCACGATTAAAAATGGTGCTGTAAGTTTATAATTTATTCCAGGATCTTCGTCATTCGACCATACTTAACTGTTCCTTCAACATCCAATTAAAAGTTATTACATTGAGGCTTCTGGTCAACGAGGTATTACAAGCAGAAATTGTAAGTAATACATAACTATTAATAGAGCACACTATCTGCAAGAAAAAAATGAATGAATTAAATGTTAAATTCGAATTGCAAATTAAATGAATTTACCTTTGTCAAAATGGTTGCGTTTATCAGGAGCCACATCGCCGCGAAGATGCTGTCGCACTGCGCTCCGATATTTTGCATATTATATGTTTCGTTAATCAGCCGGACAGCAGCAGTGATTTTTAAATATTGATTTCTAAGATTTCTCAGTTCTGTAAGCACCTGAGAATTTTGCTTTGGTTGATATACTCTACTGAAAAGATGCGGCTCTTCGTTGATCACCGTCTAGTTCAGTTTCAACAGGGAATCATTTATTTTTTCAAAACCAGCTTTCAAATGCAACACGTCCTTTATGTACACAAGTTTGGCTATTTTGCGAATGGTTTTTGGTAGCAACAGAATAGCCACATTTTCCATTTTCTCAATCATTCGTACGGTAGAATAATTTGAAATGTAACCACTGTTAGATCCCGGTGTTTAATAAATATTTTATTAAACTTAATACACGGAATTCTTACATTAGGCACCTAAAGTAATTTCCTACTGCTAACGAATTTTTACGTGGCTATACAACTGTACTTCTACCTCTGATTTTTATTCTGATGCTGAAGAAAAAGTGGTCTGGTACTGTTTTTAAAAGGTCTGGAGTCTGATTTTGAAAGTGGTGGGAATGAAGATTAGGACCAATAGGAGTTCTTGGATATTACTGAGGTTCAAAGGGTGAAGTGTATAATTCAGGGATGGTGAGTAAGGAATTCAAGGGTCGTATGCGTAATTGTACATAGAAGATAGTGGGGCTAGAGAGAGAATTTAGGATTTACTTATCTAAACCGAAATGCGAAGAATAAAATTATTTGCTCAGTCTATGACGATATCCAACACCACATATAACGATCATGGAACTCAAGAAGAAAATGAAATTGCAATATAAAACCATGGATTAACCAGTTTTATCTAGCAGTTACAATATATCATATTTCATTCGATAAGCTCAATTATTCTAAACAATCGTTCACCCGAAGTGATTCATGTTTGTAACAAACAGCCCTGTTAAGCGAACACCTACAATAACAATGTAGAATTAATGGTATCTATACGTGATAGTATTTAGTTGAAAGTAATCGCCACCTCCGCGCATTATTGACGACCACGACATTATCCTTGAAGACAATAAATTGACTCGATTCCAACCTGTTCATCCGAACGTAAACGACATTTCTCCTTGAAGAGATCACCTTTGCCTACTCTAATAAACGAGATTCCTGATTCAAATTCAATCTGTTCAACTGCTTGAACTCCGGCCACGAAAACAAGATATTTTACGATCTACATATTTCATTACGATGAAAAACAACGAGTTCACTGTACTAATCATCACAGACGACCATGCGTATATCGAACATTTCAGTGTCATTTATAATGACATTGCCTGGGACCAAAGTGACCATGGAATAACCACCCTCTAGGGATTAACTGTTACAATTATAAGATAAGAAAGTCGATCCCTGTATCCGCGGTTCTGCGTTCCAAGATCTACCATAGATAAGAAAGTAATAACTTCAACTTCAGACAAATGAAATAGTGAATAATGCTGCTTCTATGTCTTGCTAATGACGCTACACTTTTAACCCTTTCGGTACTATCGCCGCTTATAGTCGGTATCCACGAAACAAGCTACGGAAAAGCAATTGGTATGTTTGCTTATATCGTAAATGTTTCAAATATTTTACTTAAAAGTTGGTTCAGATCACCTTTTGCGGCTTACACTGCCGTACAGTGTAATCACTCTCGCGGAAAACTTTCTCGTCCAGTGAATGTATATCCGCGGCCAGCTCTTCCGTACCGAAAGGGTTAAATATGATAATTGTCAATTTAGAGTTTTACGTAGATTTTCTACGTTATCGATAATGTTGGTACATCGATAACAAACGATTCCACGAAAAATTACGTCGCAATTTCAAATGACAGTCTACAGCACACGCAATTATCCCGTTCTTCCAGAAAGCAACAGCGATAATCGGCTGTTGAAAATGGACCACTGTCGTTAGCTCAGCGACTCTGATAAATTTAGAACATTTAGATGAAGAACGCGATTATCGCTTAGCCGGCTATCACTTTGAGGCTTTAGTGTGACCAAAATGTTTTTACCTGCACGGTGATTATGCATGACGATTTCTTCGGTCCCGTTCAGTGTATTAGATCATCCCATAAACTGGTATCCCGTAATCTCGCACCTGATTTCATAGTAACGTTGAAAGTAACTGCTAGATTCCTTTGCATCGCAGTTGTACAGATTTATATATAAGCGAAGGAAAAAGTGGACGAGAAGTGTTACAGGTGTGTGCACATGGACACATCAAACGGTGCTTTTCGCAAGACTGCCGAATCACGAAACTATTTCTTCGTTCACTCTTGCTTGGTTTCACATACTATCGAGTTCAATAAGAACTGGAGCAGTATCAAAAGATACACAGTGATGCCACCCACGATCTGCAAAAAAGGTTTATTCTAATTTAATTGAACTGGGAAGAATTTAAACTTAAGCTTTTGCCCTCAGCATTGCCTCTTTCACTGTATACTCTACAGGACAAAAGGGCAATCTTACCTCTGCAAGAAGAGGCGCGTTGATATCGAACATTTTCGCAGAAAACGTAGTGTCACAGTGTAGTAATTGCAGCGAGAAAAGCTCCAGCTGCAATTTAAAGGTATTGATGAGCATCTTTTTAAGATTCGATGAATTTATATCTTACCTCTCGTTTCACGGACAAATCGGTCGCCTCGCTAAGGGCATCGTGAAGAGTAGTGCGGATTTGTCCAGCTTTATTAGTCGCCGTTTCACACGCCCAAATCATCGTAACAAATTTAAGAAAATTATATACGATAGGAGGAATATAGGGCCAGTACCAAAAGATTAGATTTGTCTGACCTGGTTCCCCACCGTTAACTCGTACTAAACAAAAGTACAAATCAAAAGTAACAATAGTAAAAGTCTTGAGAGTTGTTACTACGAGTTGCGTAATAAATATTTTGTTCAGTAATTGTAGAATATCGGTGACCTGCAGCTGTTTCCCCTCTAAATTCTTCAATTTCATCAGCAACGAGGCAGTCCTCTGTTTGTGGCGCAAAAATGTCTTGGTGACGGGTTTTCGAAATTTATCGAGATCTTCGTTGATTTTCATGAAACATGCTCTTAAAACGCACGCCGAGTTAATGTAGAACATGTCCATGATGAAGTTCACCAACATCATGAATAGAGCGGTAAAATTTAGCACTGTTACAGTCGTGTATCCACTTTTAACGCAATTGAAAGCGTGACTTGAAAGAAATAAAAATACAAAAATATCCTTTGAATGAACGAATTTCGCCATGTCGTTGAAGTCCTTTGGTGCCACCATGGTGGACGCCTCCGTGAGCTCCTGAAGAAAGCGCAGTATCGCTTTATATTGACCGTACGTTAACAAGACAGCGCTTGCAGCCATGATAACATACAAATTGCGATTCAGTTGTTTTGGCACAGTATTGATTAACGATGAGCCGCAATTAATATCATATACTACATAGAATACCAGGATCAGGAACGTGGCCAAAATGATCATTGAATAAATGACACGAATTCTTGAAGAGGTATATCCTGAAGATACACATTTGAAAGGAAAAATTCCAAATATATTTGCGATGAAATAACAAGGGTACATCAGCGAAACGAAATCCGTGGCGTGAAATAGTTTCCATGTTTTGTTCTCCTTTAATTCTGTTGTCTTCCAAGCTTCAGACATCGTTCTTTCGCAACTTGGAACGTTACAGTGGAAAAAGTTTGATGTTATTCACGAAAATTGACTAATGGAAAAAAACTTTGTTATAAAAGTGAGCAAACTGCTCATGTTTTCAATAAACTCGAGATACTGGTGTTTAATCATCGATGTAGGACGCTTGAACGATTCTCTTGATATTAGAAAATTGCATGATATTAGGAAATAAATTACAATGCGATAATGCATAACGTGAATAAATAAATAACTTGTGCTTAGTATGCTTTTAGCATGATTGAAAGTGGTGCTATATGTTTATAATTTATTCTAGGCTCTTCGTCAATCGACCATAATTGTTTCTACAATAATCAATTAAAAATCATTACATTAGAGCTTCATCTCAACAGGGCGTTACAAGCAGATATTGTACCAATAGTACTACATAAGTGGAAATAGAGCACATTATCTGCAAGAAAAAAAAATGAAAAAATTAAATGTTGAATTCGAATTGCAAATTAAATGAATTTACCTTTGTCAAAATGGTTGCGTCCATCGGGAGACCCATCGCCGAGAAGGTGCTGTCACACTGCAGTACTTGCAACGAGAATAATTCCAACTACGGAGGTGCAAATTAATAAATTCATCCATTAAAATTAATGACATTTTATTCATAATTTTTCCATCATTTCACCTTACCTCGATCGTCGTCTGTTTATCAAAAGTATTCACGACGATTCGGTGAACATTAGAACCAATCTTCTGTGCTTGGTTCTTAGTCGTCTCGGTGGTCCAAACAATCAAAGTCAAATTGAAAGTATAATATATAATATAGATACTATTTTCGAAAAACCACGCGGAAACGATATCCTCTTCAGTAAAAAGTACCACATAATGATACACATTAAACGTGATGTGAATAAAGTGCATCGTAAGCGATCCGATATTTTGAATATTATACGTCTCGTTAATCAACCGGACAGCAGCAGTGATCTTTAAATGTTGTTTTCTAAGATTTCTTAGTTGTTTGAGCAACTCAGGATTTTCTTGCGATTGATACACTCTGCTGAAAAGATGTGGCTCTTCGTTGATCACCATTTCGTTCAGTTTCACCAAGGAATCATTTATTTTTTTGAAACAAGCTTTCAACACGTACACATTGTTCACGTACAAAGAGTTTGCCGCTACCATCGACAACAACACGTAATTAAAGCTGCAGCCAATTATGTATCCAAGGCTCATCACACCGGTTCGATAAATCAGACAAAATGGGATGAAAAGCAACGCGTCCTTCGTGTATACTAATTTGGCTAATTTGCGAATGGTTTTCGGTGGAAGCAGAGTAGCCACATTTTCCACTTTCTCAATCATTCGTACGGTAGAATGATTTGAAATGTAACCACATATAACGATCATAGGACTCACGAACAAAATGAAATTACAGTGTAAAATCGCGCGCACTTCGGTTTTAACAACGTAATTAACATTGTATATGGCTATTACCATACAAATGCTGAAAATGATCACCAAGATCGCGGAAAATGAGAAACGGGATTTTCTCGATGACACAATTTTAAAACGCAAAAATCCCATGCACGTATTTATGAAAATACAATAACGCATTAATGTTCTGTAGTTTGTTACGTTGAAAAATATCCATGTTTCGTTTTTATCTCTGATTTTCTTTTCACCGAGTTTTGGTACTTGGTTCAACATTTGGAGAACGTTTTTTCACGTAAGATGTAACGTACCTTCTTCTTCAAAGCTGTTTCTTTTACTGGCGAAAAAAAAGTAATAAAGTTAGAATAGTGACATTTAATAATTTTTATGCAAATCTAGTTGAAGCATCAAGAAACGAAAGGGAAATATCATCCACTAATGGAAGAGTTTTTATATAGTTCCGTTAAGTCTTAAATCTTCAGTGATAGTGCATGCGATACATTGCATCAAGAAATTGTTGGGAATAATAGTTGCATTATCTTGATTAAAATGAATCGATAAAGTTAATACGAAGTAAACTATTTTATCGATTCTATCTACTCTTGTCTGGTGTTTATATCAACATTTACTGGGAAGTATTATTAGAAATACTTGAAGAAATATTTTTCAAATACGTATCCATAATTTGAAATATTATTAGAACATTTGTAATTTTTATTTTCATTATTGTTCATTATTATTATCCATTAGGTAATGTTGGATTGTTACCAATAATAATTCGTCAGCGTCTTTATTAACTCGCATTCTTGTCTGTCTGTTTGTTAGGGTTCCATACGGAACAAACTGAAATAAACCTGAAATTTACCACATGTCTCGGTCATAATCACATCAAAATGTTTACAATCTGCTGAGAAATTTCACACACACTGGATTAAGAAGCAGAAAATAATTATTGCATTCAAATAAAAAAAAATTTTTAATATACCACGTTTATAAGACGGACTAAAAAGTATCAAATAATTTTTCCTAGCCCCATACGGATTCATAACCCCATACAGATAGTCCTAAAAATTTGTGATTTTTAATGTTTAATAGCTATGAAAATACTTGCAAGATTTAAAACGGAAAACGTTGGCACCACTAAAACTTTACTGTGACCAAAATGTTTTTTCTGCACAGTGATTATGCATGACGATTTCCAGAGTCTCGTTCAGTGTATCAGATCATCCCATAAACTAGGATCCCGTAATCTCGCGTCTGATTTCATGGTAACGTACAATAAAACCGGTAGATTTCTTTGCATCACAATTGTACAGATTTATATATAAGCCAAAGAAAAAGTGGCCAACAAGTGTTACAGATGTTTGCGCATGGACACATCAAGCAGTGCTTTTCGCAAAACTGCCGAAAGAATCGATAAGAAACACATGCGTCACGCAGAATCACGTAACTATTTCTTCGTTCACTCTTGCCCGAACTCGCATGCTACCCAATGCAATAAGAATTGGAGCAGTATCAAAAGGTACATGGCGATGCCTCCCACGATCTGCAAAAAAGTTTTATTCTAATTTAATTGAAATGGGAGGAATTTAAACTAAAGCGTTTGGCCTCAGCTTTGCCTCTTTCACTATATCCTCTACAGGACAAAAGGGCAATCTTACCTCTGCAAGAAGTGACGCGTTCATATCGATCATTTTCGCAGAAAATGTAGTGTCACAGTGTAGTAATTGCAGCGAGAAAAGCTCCAGCTGCAATTTAATGGTATTGATGAGCATCTTTTTAAGATTCGATGAATTTGTAGCTTACCTCTCGTTTCACCGACAAATCGGCCGCCTCGCTAAGGACATCGTGAAGAGTAGTGCGGATTTGTTTAGCTTTACTAGTCGCTGTTTCACACGCCCAAATCATCGTAACAAATTTAAAAAAATGATATATGGCAGAAGGAATATATGGCCAGTACCAAAATCCTGAATATTTCAGACCCTTTTCCCCACCGCTGACCCATAATAAATTAAAGTACAAATTAAAAGTAACATTATTAAAAGTCGTGACAGCTGTTACTACGAGTTGGATGACAAATATTTTGTTGAGAAATTGTAGAACGTCGGTGACATGCAGCTGTTTCCCCTCTAAATTCTTCAATTTCATCAGCAACGAGGCAGTCCTCTGTTTGTGGCGCAGAAATCTCTTGGTGACGGGTTTTCGTAATTTATCAAGATCTTCGTTGATTTTCATGAAGCATGCTTTTAAAACGCACGCCGAGTTAATGTAGAACATGTCCATGATAAAGTTCACCAACATCATGAATAGAGCGGTCAAATTTAGCACTGTTACAGTCGTGTATCCACTTTTAACGCAATTGAAAACGTGACTTGAAAGAAATAAAAATACAAAAATATCCTTTGAATGAACGAATTTCGCCATGTCGTTGAAGTCCTTTGGTGCCACCATGGTGGACGCCTTCGTGAGCTCCTGAAGAAAGCGCAGTATCGCTTTATATTGACCGTACGTTAACAAGACAGCGCTTGCAGCCATGATAAGATACAAATAGCGATGCAGTTTTTTTGGTACATTATTGGATAGCGATGTGGTGAAATTAATTTCATATCCTGTATAGAATACCAGAATCAGGAACGTGGCCAAAATGATCATTGAATAAATGACACGACTTCTGGAAAAGGTATATCCTGAAGAGTCACATTTGAAAGGAAAAATTCCGAATATATTTGCGATGAAATGGCAAGGATACATCAGCGAAACGAAATCCGTTGCGTGAAATAGTTTCCATTTCTTGTTCTCTAATTCTGTTATGTTCCAAGCTTCAGACATCGTTATTTCGCAACTTGAAAAGTGACAGCAGAAAAAATTTGATATTACTCACGAAAATTGGCTGTAGGACAGACTAATAGAAAGAAACTTCGTTATAAAACTGAGCAGACTGCTCATGTTTTCAATAAACTCGGGATACTGATGTTTAATCGTCGATGTAAGACGCTTGAACGATTCTCTTGATATTAGAAAATAAATTGCAATACGATAATGCATAACGTGAATATATAACTTCTTGCATAGTGTGCTTTTAGCATGATTAAAACTGGTGCTGTAAGTTGATAATTTATGCCAGGCTCTTTGTCAATCGACCATAATTGTTTCTACAATACTCAATTAAAAATCATTACATTAGAGCTTCATCTCAACAGGGCGTTACAAGCAGATATTGTACCAATAGTACTACATAAGTGGAAATAGAGCACATTATCTGCAAGAAAAATAAAATGAAAAAATTAAATGTTAAATTCGAATTGCAAATTAAATGAATTTACCTTTGTCAAAATGGTTGCGTCCATCGGGAGACCCATCGCCGAGAAGGTGCTGTCACACTGCAGTACTTGCAACGAGAATAATTCCAACTACGGAGGTGCAAATTAATAAATTCATCCATTAAAATTAATGACATTTTATTCATAATTTTTTCCATCATTTCACCTTACCTCGATCGTCGTCTGTTTATCAAAAGTGTTCACGACGATTCGGTGAACATTAGAACCAATCTTCTGTGCTTGGTTCTTAGTCGTCTCGGTGGTCCAAACAATCAAAATCAAATTGAAAGTATAATATATAATATACATATTAATATTGGAAAACCATATGGTAACGATATCCTCTTGGGTAAAAAGTACCACATAATGATACACATTAAACGTGAGGTCAATGAAGATCATTATAAGCGATCCGATATTTTGCATATTATACGTCTCGTTAATCAACCGGACAGCAGCGGTGATTTTTAAATGTTGTTTTCTAAGATTCCTCAGTTGTTCGAGCAACTCAGGATTTTCCTGTGATTGATATACTCTGCTGAAAAGATGCGGCTCTTCGTTGATCACCATTTCGTTCAGTTTCACCAAGGAATCATTTATTTTTTCGAAACAAGCTTTCAACACGTACACATTGTTCACGTACAATGAGTTTGCCGCTACCATCGACAGAAACACGTACCAACAGGTGTAGCCAATTATGTATCCTAATGCTTTCAGAGTGAATGATAATGTCAGAATAAATGGGATGAAAATCAACACGTCCTTCGCGTACACTAGTTTGGCTAATTTGCGAATGGTTTTCGGTGGCAGCAGAGTAGCAACATTTTCCACTTTCTCAATCATTCGTACGGTAGAATGATTTGAAATGTAGCCACATATAACGATCATGGGACTCAAGAACAAAATGAAATTGCAGTGTAAAACCATGGACTCGTCGATTTCAATAACGTAATTAACATTGTATATGGCTATTACCATACAAATGCTGAAAATGATCACCAAGATCGCGGAAAATGTGAAACGGAATTTTGATATGTATCTCGATGAGACAATTTTAAAATGCAAAAATCCAATGCACATATTTATGAAAATACAATAACGCATTAACGTTCTGTAGTTTGTTACGTTGAAAAATGTCCATGTTTCGTTTTTATCTTTGATTTTCTTTTCACCGAGTTTTGGTACTTGATTGAACATTTGGAGAACGTTTCTTCAAGTAGTGTATACAGTAGTTTCTTGTTGGAGGCTGTATCTTTTACTGGCGAAGAAAAAGTAATAAAGTTAGAATAGAGACATCTAATCATTTTTATGCAAATCTAGTTGTAGCATCAAAGAACAAAAAGAAAATACCATCCACTAATGGAAGAAGGTTTTAGTACTTCCGTTAAGTATTCAAAGTGATGGTGCTTGCGATACATTATATTAAGAAATTGTTGGGAATAACAGGTGCATTATCTTGATTAAAATTAATCGATAAAGTTAATACGAAGTAAACTATTTTATCGATTCTGTCTACCCTTATCTGGTGTTTATATCAACATGTACTGGGAAGTATTATTAGAAATACTTGAAGAAATATTTTTTGAAATATATATTCATAATTTGATATATTATTAGAAGATTTGCAATTTTTATTTTCGTTTTTTTTATCAAGTTATATAGTAATGTTTTTGTAGTTACAAACATATAGATAATGACGACAAATTAGGTTAAAATAATATTTGTTGCTTGTAAGAAATGCTATGATAGTGTTAAAAATTCCTTTTTCAAAGCTATACACTATCGCTATTTTCTCAATTAAGAGCGTAGCATTTGACGTCAATGAGTACTATGCGTAGCTTATTTTATCAACTTCCTGTGCTTACTGTTGTTAATAGATATTATTTTTTTTAACCGCGATATCGCAGTTTGTCATTGAAATTTTTTCTTCTATTAAATAAAATAACCATTTCGAAAGAGTTAAGGTGTCAGTAGTATTCACGACGCAATAAAATGTTTTATTAAGAACGGTTGCAAGAGTAATCAATTTCTATAAATTAGAAGCAAAAATATATAAACTTCAATACGGAAGTCAATTTATTTTAACTGGATAAATAATTATAATAATGTAATGATTTTAAAACTATATGATTACTAATGCGTTTGAATATATTTAATATTTTATTTTATATGGGAAACAACCATAACATCAATTTTAATTTTTTATGTATATTATACATTTATATATTTTCTTTTTTTTAAATAATAAATTATCGCGTAAAATTATTAACTCTAAGGCACATCTAGAAACGTATATGTTTCTGGCGAAGAGATAATGCTGAATAGGTTAGGTATTTTTGCCGCCAACACGCGCCTATTGGCGTTTATGCAATCAGTAGTATGACTGACTAATACGTGAAACTGTTTGAATTGATATCATTTTAAATGCGATAGCTACGTAGCTTTTGTATGACACCGACTGAAAGTAGTTTATAATGATCACTTATCGTTACGCGGCGTGAATGTAATAGTGCGCCAACTTCGGTGCAACTCAGTACAAACATCATGAACAAAAACAGTATTAATAAAGGAATAATTTCTTATATGTATTTAGAAAATTTCGTGTAAGTATTATTCTAAAATATTTGATTAATCATTTCAGTATATGTAAAATGTTTATTTTGTTACAGAACTTATAATAGCGTTTCTCTAAAACCTGGGAGAAATTTAAATGTAATTATTGGACCTAATGGTACTGGTAAATCTACAATTGTTTGTGCCATTGTTCTTGGATTAGGTGGTAAACCTACTACCATTGGGCGTGCAACTCATGTAGCGGAATATGTTAAAGCAGGATGTGAACAAGCAAAGATTGAAATACATCTTACAAATGGACAGAAGGATGACATTGTCATTTGTAGACAATTTAATATACAGGGGAAATCTTCTTGGTTATTAAATGGAAATTCTTCAAACATTAAAGAAATACAAAATCTAACAAAGACCTTAGATATTCAGGTATTAATATTAATCTTATGCCAATTTGATCTAAAATTCTTCATTCCTCATTTTATATTTAGGTGGATAATCTTTGTCAATTTCTTCCACAAGACAAAGTTCAAGATTTTTCTAAAATGAATGCACAAGAATTATTAGAAAATACAGAAAGATCAGTGGGTGATCCTATAATACTTGAACATCATACAAACTTAATAGACTGTAGATCAGAACATAAACAGTTGGAGTCACAGATTACAAGTAAAAAAAGATTATTAGAATCAAAATCTCAGATATACGAAGGACTAAAAGAAAGTGTTAGCAGTATAAAAGAAAGGAAATTAATAAAGAAAAAAATTATATCTTTGAAGCAGAAAAAGGCATGGATGATATATGAACACAAACGTGCAGAACTGTTTCAGGTAAAACATAAAATAAAATTCATTACTTTTAAATATTAAAGTTCTTTAAATGTACATCGATCTTGCAGTTAAAAAGCAAAATGGCAGCTGCACGTAAAACAGTAATATCTTTAGAATCAGAGATAAAACCTATTAATGATTTAATAGAAAAACTAAAATCAAAGATTCACTCACTTCAGAGCTCTCAGGCAGATGTTGTAAGTTTATATGTTTTAAATTACAAAATAATATATAACATGCATTTTGAGCACCCTGTAACTATCTTATATTTCAGAATAATAAAGTGAGAATTAAGACTTCGAAGATGAAAGGAATGTTGAATGATATTTTGGAATTCGAGAATGGTATTAAAGAACATGAAACTGCATGCAAACACAGAATTCAAGTAGAAGAAGCACGGGATCATGATATTGATGTAGTTAAGCAACAAAAAAATAAACTTGAGGATGATTTGTCTTTGATATTAAAGGGCATTGGGTCTGAGGACACCTTAATGAAACAGCAAAAAGAAATATCGTCCAATATAGAAAAGCATAGGAGTATCATTGCCATGCTAACAAGTAAACATTCCGCGTTAAGACAACAAGAGGAAAGTATGAATCTAGAAATCAGAGCTCAGGAAACGGAACTCCAACTTCTTAATATTGATGCTAAACGATTGCAATTATTAAGGGAGAGATCATTGGATACATATAAAGCGGTACATTGGTTAAGAGACAACCGCGATAAGTTTTCTGGGATAATACACGAACCGATATTGCTCAACATAAATGTAAAAGATGCTTCATACGCAAAATACTTAGAAAATACTATTCCGTATCGCGATTTAATCGCGTTCGTTTGCGAAAACAAGAAAGACATGAATTTATTATTACATTTCTTAAGAGGCGAGCAGAAATTACAAGTAAATGCTGTACATTCTGATCCCACGAAACATATTTCCATGGAACCAAATGTTCCTTTAGAACATATTAAACAGTTCGGTTTTACTCATTATTTAGCGTCACTGATTGAAACACCGAGCACTATTATGAAATATTTAGTAACTATGTATAATTTAAATAATATACCCGTAGGAACAAATCTTGTTGATGATAATATTGATTCTATACCCCACAATATACGTTACTACTTCAGTCGTAAGTAAACCGTGTACCAGTTCAATTAATTGGTTAATTAATATGTATATATATATATATATATATTTTTTTTTTCCAGGAAATAATGCGTATTCAGTCAATAGATCTAAATACACAGGGGAGAAATCTACTACAATGCGATCAGTTTCAAGCAATGGAATGTTATCTATTGTATTAGATAAATCTAAGTTATCAAACATTGAACAAAAGTTTGTTCAAAATTTAACACATCAAATAGTATTATAGCTGTAAATAGTTTATAATAAAAGTATGATTTTAGGTTGACAAGATTAAAGAAAGAAAAAGTTAATGCACTTAATAAAATGAAAGAAATCGAAGAACAAATGTGTGAAGAGAATAAAAAATTAGATGAGCATAGAGCTAGTAGAAATAAGATTCAACAGGATTTCCAACAAGTACAAGCTTTGAAATCTAGAATATCTATGGTGGAGAAGAAAATTGAAAGTCTAGAAAATGAACGTACCAGTATTGATAAAATAAAAGAGCTTTATACTAATAAAATTAAGGTTTGTTTATTATCATTTCATGTTGTTATTGTTATACGTATTGCGTGTAAACAATATCTTTCGATGCATTTTTCAGGATATTTTGAACAAACAACTAAGAATGTATAGAACATACAATAAAGAGTTCGAGGAATATTATAAATACACTATAGAAAATGAACAAACCGAGTTAATATTAAAACTACAAAATAGATCACTGAGAATGAAAATAAATGATTCTCAGGATATGAGAGATAAACTTAAGATAGAAGAGGAGAAAGTACGACAAATTAGTTTAGAATTGAATCCAATGAAAAATGAAACACAAAGGATTTACAATGAAGCATTGCAAACTACTAATGGCATTAGTCCTACAGATGAAAGGTTTGCCTCTCTGGATAAGATTTTCAATAAATTGCCACCAACCATTGAAGAACTTAATAATGAACTTAATATCGCGCAAGCAAAAGTTTTTTGTATGGGAAACAATATAGATGGTGAAAACGTTAGCATCATAGACAAGACTATAGATTATAAATTAATACTATTTATTCGCAGATATTTAACTCTTTTAATTGTAGATATTACGCGAATACGAAGATATTGAAAAAACCATCGTAAACTTGAAGGAATTCATTCAGAAAGAAACACAACATTTAGAAACACTTCAACAAAGGATGAATATGTTGCGAGAAGAATGGCTAAAACCTCTTTCGAGCATTGTTGACAAGATTAATTCAAACTTTAGCTCATATTTTTCGGCAATGAATTGCGCTGGCGAAGTTACGTTAGCTCAACCAGAAAATAACGTAAGATATTGTGAAATAGAGATAGAAATGTCTATTGACAGACTTCCAATAGGTGAAATGTTAAGTTATAATAAAAGTAATTTGTGTTTATAGATGGATTTTGATCAGTATGGCCTAAAAATCAAAGTAAAGTTTAGGGATACTGATCAATTACATGAATTGACAAGACATCATCAAAGTGGTGGAGAAAGAGCAGTGACCACTGCTATTTATATGATTTCACTTCAAGAACTTACTAGAGTACCTTTCCGATGCGTAGATGAAATTAATCAGGTACCTTTAACACTTTTGATTTTCACCTTGCACCACGTTAGTGTTAATGATTTCATAAATTTTCATTCTTATTTCAGGGTATGGATGCAGTAAACGAAAGGCGAGTATTTGATTTACTCGCACGAATGACTGGAAGACCAAATAGTTCGCAATATTTTTTGCTTACTCCAAAAGTTAGTATATTGTCTTTTTTTTCTAGATACAATGCTAATTAATTTACTAATAACATTGAATCTATTTTTTATTTAGCTGCTACCTAACTTACAATATTCTAAAACAGTGACTGTGCATTGTGTATTTAATGGACCGTTTATGATTAACCATACACAGTTCAATACCGAAGATTATTGCAAACATGTTGTTAAAACGTTGGAAAAAGAGAATATTATTGATGATTAACTATCATTGTTCTCCTCAGGATATATTTATAATGTTGCATAATTTTAGAGTATGTAAATCAGAGTTATACAATTATTCATAGTTCATATATTTTTACAGAACGTTTAATATGATATAATTATACGAAAAAGAAAATATATTTTATGAATACTTTGTCATAGAAGCATGTGAATTTTACTTCTTCTTTCCTTTCTTCTTTTTCTTCTGAGCTTCCGGCCAAGGAAATCCTCTGCATTTTAATACATCCATGATATTGTGACAAGTGTAGTAAGCATTTTCCATGGCTTCTTCATTGAAGATGTCCATAGTGAATTTTGTTTTTCCACCACTTTTTCTTGATTTTTTTGCACCTTTACTTTTCCCGCCATTATTATTTTTACCATTTTTACTCTTTTTCCCGTTCTTACCGTTATTTTTCATGGGTTTCTTCTTATTTTTACCCCTCATTTTTTTTTTATTTGAATAACAAGTAATTCATAAAGAGGAAAACTTGTAGTTCTTATATCATCGAACTTATTGTATGTGTAAGTCGTTACTATGTACTCGGTTATTTCAATAACGGTTGCCATGATTTCGGTTACATCAATAACCATATTTTTGTAATTAATCTATACCACGGTTCACCAGAGTCCATAACTGCGACGCGCAGGGTGGAAGATGGTGGGGGAACGCAGCGAGCTCTCTGCTAATCGCTTTCCACTTCGTTTGGGAATATCGCCAATCAGGGCAAAGATGCGCACTGGAGAAGCGCGAAGAACGAAAACTGGTCTTTCGCAGTTATGGACTCTGATGAACTGCGGTATACATATGTGCATAATTACTTTTGTTTTGCAAAATAACGCGTTATTTCCCGATTATCGATCGAAACGAATAATCTCCACTGATCTTTCTAGAAACACTTCACACTTTTATAAATAACATTCCTATAACACACATAAATAATTAAATGAACCGAACTAAAGTGTCTTTCTATTTATGAACACGAAACAATAGTAAGTAGGAGTAACTACCGACTGGCGAGATGGTTTTTGAATACGGAAACGGAAGTCATTTTCGCATCAATCGACTATCGAAGTATATCGATCCCATGAAAAAATCGAACGACCTTGACCTCAACAATATATCAAGTATTCTCGTGAAGAGTGATCCAGTGAAATTAAGAGGTCAATGACACGTGGACAGCATATTTCGTGATTTTTTCGCGAAACATTTATAATCTTGAAAACCTTCGAACGTGCTTCTACTTCAAAACCGGAAATATTTCTCTGTACAATTCGACTCCTGATAATAAAAAAAAAATGTTGAAACATAACTCTAGAATTATTCTTTGAAATACAAGGTAGTCAATCTAGCGCTACATGTAATTGACAAGTTAGAAAGAAGAGAAGAAAGGTGGACGTATATACATATACGTCCTATAATAGTTAGCGGATTCTGAATACCAGTAAATGCGAACTGGCCCCACGGCAGTGTTTCATGGCCTGCATTCGGGCTGTGTCTCTCACTGCATTTATACTCAGTACAGAATATTCCAAGTTTCATTTCTGTTCGTGCTCTTAGCCGTGCTTTAATTTGTATCGGAGCTTCGAGCGGAGCGGACAGATGGAGGTTCCGCGAACTTAACTATTGATAGGCACGCGCAAATCGACCGTCAAGAAGTGCCGGTAAAACAAATGCGAAATAGTCGCATACAGTCCTTGCCGCGAGAATCACGTTCTCTTCGTATCAGCAAATCAGAAACCTTCGAGCGTATATACTCGTTGCTTCGTGCGATTCAACGCGAACAGTCGAACTTTCTTTTCAGAGCGTCGGTACGTCGACGTAAAATATCCAACGAAAATAGAATTTTTGTGACATAACACATAGCAAAGGGAGAAAAAAAATGTCTACGGCATTGTTAGCCGTATTTGCCGTGATCCTGTGCATCCTGTTCAGGATATTAAACGTAAACAGTTCGCCGCAGAAGCCATTGATCATTTGTCAGGATCAATCGTTTCTCACGACGATTCTCAAAATTGCACCTGTCATAGGAGAACCGTAAGTTATCCATCATTATATACATATATATATATATATACATATTTTGAATGCATAACTATATTTCCTGTTCCATGGTGTCTGGAGATACCAAAGAATGTGAGGTTAGGTGCATTCCAGGACGCCGGATATTTTTCGTATGCATCTACAGACACGTTCTTTTTTGTAGGATATAGACATGGCAGATTCTCTTCGATGCTTAATGATTAACTCGCGTTACGATACATCTACGATGACATTGTTTCGGAAACGTTTTGTCCGATCAATATCGAAAATTCGCGAAAGGTGTCAGTAACAGACGTTACTTTTGATGAACGTTTAGTACGGGTGTGATCTAGTTTTCACTAATAGACAATGACCCTATCAATCGTTCTAATCGTGCCACGAGGAACGTATCAACGTATTATAACGTATTTTAAATTATCAGCCATCCGCGATTTTATCATGTTGCCAATCCCGTAGCTCGTGCTATATGTTTTTGAAAATAATTTTCAAGGCCCAGTAGTGGGGGCTGATAAACCTTACATGACCAATTATGGCTTAATTATAATATAAATTATATTTTAATTACTTCACAGATTGTCCTACAACTTAGATTGTTAGTAACAGGTGTTTGCAGCATGATGCTTGCCAAAAGAAATATTTTGATATTTCAAGTGAGGTTTGAAAAATTTTTTCAAAGAATTAGAACAATAAAATATGATCTATTTTCCTAAGATATTTTAATTACCTCCAACAAATTTTCTTTAAAAATAAACTATGGGGTAACTCCTTAATTAACTACACTTTACGTATACATTACGTTAATCATTGGTTTAAAACTTCGTTCAGACTTGCCAAAGGTTCTCGGACCATCACCGACTCCCATGGATCCAATTTGTCTTCTCGTTACCATCTGATATCCCTCGGAATGTTCAAAAATAAACACAGCAATTTGTATTTATTTTTTTTTTATAATTACGAGAAGATGTAATACAATAAAAATTTGAATATGATACGTCGTATGGAAATGAATAATTGAAATTAAGATTGAAATGAGGTTAAAGCAATTAAAAGTAAATCTTTAAATAACCCTTACGAGAAAAATTACACAGTGAATGTTTCTTCCATTTTGAGAGTATTGCATAATGAGTTTGATTCTGATCTTGGCTATGACCTCACTGTAACAAATGCCTTGGTGCGGCTGCATCACACTTATCGGAAGATTGTGACTAATACGTTATCTTCCAACGTGGCAAAAATTTATCTAGAGCCATGGTGATTCACCAGCTATCGGTTATAAATTTTTCATAAGAATCTCGAAAGACTGTAATAATTAAAAAAGGGAAGCATCCAACGATTCAAATATTGCTAATCTCGTGACGAAGAAAGAATTTTCCAGTATCTCCTACAACAGTATCTTTAATTATTAATTGATAAATTAGAAATATCGGGCAACTTATCAAACGATAAAGCTGTTTGATTAAATGGTTCTCCGATTTTTTCGGATTAAAAAAAGAGAGATTGATAGGAATGCAATTTTGAAATGGCAAAACATGTTCTATAAACAGTATATATTATACACTGGAGTTTTGAAATTGTGGAATTTTAGAATCTTACAATTTAAGGGCTCCCTACACCCCTAGTTACGCCCTTAGATGTTGGGTCAGCAAAGGGTTAATTATTCATAAGACCGCATCCAACAGTACACAACGTTCTCAAAATTTATAGTACCATTATTCCAAGGTATTTTGATTTTTTGGCATGGTTTTATTAAATTAAATATGATGTACCCTCAAATAGATAAGATAACATTTTAACACTATTAATGATATATTATTTTTTCGCGAGTAAATGTAAATAAATACTCGGGGTTATTGATATGTAAGTACACAAGATAAGGTCACTTTTTTAAATCCAACTACGTATTCGTTTCGACGACCCCAAAGAAAAAAAGAAGAAAATTATAAATGATTAACGAGACACTTCGCGTGCTACTTCGTTCACCGTCGTACGTCTTGTTTTACATATTCACAGATATCCGAACCATTAAACAGCTTTAGAATCCTTATTATTAATGCTTTTAAAGAAATACCATTACTCGGATAATAGTCTTTGTTGATTCAAAGTGTTAAGGTGGAAAGAAGAAGTATCGAATATTATTCTTATGAATAATAATTAATAAAGTCATTCGTTTGTTACTTCTTTCCCGATGAAAGTAAAATATTTCATACACTTTACATAAATGTAAATTAATAACCTCTGGTGATTGAATAGAGATGCCTTTCGCGGTATTATTAATGCCATACTAATCGATACCAAGCAATAGCCTAGCTATTCAGTCAGTGTATCTCCATGGAAAAGACTTCCTGTACTTTATCGAGTTTCCTAGCAATCTCGTTGCTTTCGCTTTTACTTCCGTATCAATAATGAAGTCCAATTTTCGCAACATCGTCGTGAAATCATTCTTGCAACTTATCCTTTAATCATTCAAATAACAATGGTCGAGTTAATCGTAACACAGACCTATGGAACAGTTCATCGATTGAAATTGGACGTTTGAATTTCTTCTTAGCCTTCTTTCTTATTAATAATTCATACCTCGCTTGCTTTCATCCTGCCAAGCAAAGCGAAGTTTGCTTTTCCCGAGCACCGTTTACACTGACCAAAACGCATCATTCATTATTCTCAATACAATTTTCTACGTTCTACGATAACAATGTTATCGTTTAATTTTGATTTCCTGCCTCGCGAACCACGTTATCGTAACGCAACGTAAAAAGGAAAACGGCAAGCTTGCCGTTCATTTTTCATCGATTATACTTCAACTGTGATTTTGAATGCTTGTAAAACGCTTGAAAAACAATACATTTTTGTATGGTTGAAGGAAAAGGTGACGAGAAACTTGTATAACAGTAATTATTAATTGAATGGAGTAAGAAGAAATTGATTCCTCTAGCAAGCTCTCTAATTAAATATTAATTATCACTCTTATGGTTGCAATTTTGCTTCTGTGTATCATTAAGAGTTTCTCTATGACAATTTACCATAAGTGATCATTTTACTTGGAACAGTGAATTTCACAGAGGGTAGATCTACGCCCTCCAGTTACAACGAGTTAACCCTTTGAGGACGATCGACGCACATGTGGGTTCAAACTTAATCGTCACAGTGATTTGTAATTCTGTACTTATTGCGTTATATTTTTGATATAAAATATAACTATAAGAAATATTAAACAGCTTTAGAATCCTCATTATTAACGTTTTTAAAGAAATACAATTACTCGGGTAAAAGGAAAAAAGAAGTATCGAATATTCTTATGAATAATAATTAATGAAGTCATTAAAGCTATAAGAGTAGATAGTAAAAATTTATAATATATTCTTTCAAGGATGTAATTATTACTCCTTTTATTTTAAATTAACAATACTATCTGCAAGCTTACGAATGCTCTGTCCTCAAAGGATTAAAAAACAACTTTTTACAGTGTACCAGTTAAAGGAAATTTCAACCACTTATAATGGTGATTTCACCTTCTTCGTCGAGAAACTGTTGCAAGTGAAAATCGCTTCATGCGTGACTTCGTAAATTTCATTTACGTCGTATCACAGATATAAGACGAATATTTTGTAATTATAAAAGTGCGAGAATTATCAATTATTTCACAAAGCATCAGCTTGGTCTGTGGTCCTCAAGATCAAGGTTACATTCTGATTCATTGCTAAACTCGTTTATCCGTAAGAAGCAATGGTTTAGTAACCGCTTAACACATTGGATGTTACATATACATACATATGTGGTTCGTTAACGAGCCACGATATAAATGTGTACATGTGTAAACTAGAAAAAGAAAATTTCATTATATTTCGCGAATCGCAGATACCGTAAAATAACGGACAAACAAAAGTACGATACGAAGAATTTAGGACAATAGCTACTTTCGGAGAATCGAATATTGTAATGTTACATTTTGACCCACTTTCGTGTTTCTACCCTGAAGCCTTTGATTTCATGCTTAGCGTGTTTGCATGGCTCGGGTTGTATGTAACAAGTTCAAGGGTATCGAGATATTTCCGTCGTCTTAAAATGTTAGAATAAACAGAATTTTACATCAAAATTCAAAGAAATTATGATTTTTAACCGACTTCGAAGAAGAAGAAGGTTTTTCAATTCGATCAGTATTTCTTTTTTTTTGTGTTATGTAGTGACGCCAGGGTAACCCCTTCTGATTCACATGAACTGGTTAAATTGCTCTGTAATTTAACCAATGAATAAAATTCATACCCCAAGCGCGTGCACTTCTATTATGTACACACTGGTGACCTGATTTATTTCTCGTGAAACTTGAAAACAAATTTATTATTCATGGTGAAAAACGCTGACGACCCATGTAAATGGATTACAGGTAGAAATTCTATGACTTTGCACCTGGTTTACTTCTCTCCAACGAGGAAGTAAATAGTCCTTCCTAAAGATCCCTCATCATCTCGTAACATAGTTTATTTACCTATTTTCGACGTCCATAAATCTTTTCATGGAAATCATTCAAAGGAACATGGTTTTCTACCCCCGTGCCACTAACACCAGATATTTTACGAGTACTTGAATTTATATCTTTGTTGCTCCACTGATCCACTGGGAGCCATTGTACGCTTAATAATCTTTGCCTGGTGAAGTTTGGTCTGAAGATATAGGCCAGTCGTAAATTAAAACGTGGATGATTTGTAAATTTCATATTTAGACTTTACAACCGCGCTATATCTGTGCAAACTGTACACGAGCAAAAATTGCGATATTCTCGCGATGAAAGAAGAAACAGACTTTCACGTAGTTTTTCTCCGGAAGTACAATAGATCTGTGAACTTCGATGTAGAACTGGTTCGACGAGCGAAAAACAAAATTATACTTTGTACTAACAGTTACTTCGTGAAAGAAATTTTACTACTCTCCGTTAATGAGTACCCGCTTTATTAACTATCGTGAACTCGAAGATAATAATTTACGACCGGTTTCTCTGACTATGTGGGTTACCTGGTCCCCAAAATGAAAAATGTTTTACTTGAAATTAAAAACATATTTGGTTTCTTATAGGACACCATAAAATAAGTACATTATAATATGATGCACCTGTAGACTGGTTATATTGTATGACACCAATTTCGAGTCTGTGATATTCAAGGATGTAACGATACTTGTTCACACATTTCAGGTATAAACCAACAAGGTTATGGGGTTTCAGTGGCCACGTACAAACCATCGTTCACAGTGTTATTGGCCGCGTCCGTTGCCCTTGGCCGATTGGTGAACGAGTGTACATCGCACTTCCGGATGAGACCACTCTCACCTACGATCTTTATCAGCCTCTAACCAACGATTACGAAGGTCAGTTCTTTTTTGTATTCGTATAAAATTAAATGATTGTTTCATTTAAAATATCAATTTTGTATTGATCAGATGAGGTATCTGTTAATTAATAGAGAAAGGAATACAAAAATTGATGAAAACGCAATAAACATTAAATAAAGATATCAGTTAATTAATAGAGAGAGGAATATAAAAATTGATCAAAATCCAATAATGATTAAACGTGGAGAACACGAGTATAGAGTCAATAAAATTAATTAGTGCACTTTGATAAACACGATATCTATTAATGAACATTTGACGCAGACTTTAATTAATAACGTTTGTAGATAAAAATTTCTATAACATTGTTAGAAATATTTTAAACGTAAAATACTTCAAAGTTGTGCGGTGTAATGTATGGAATCAATTTCAACGAATAATTTACACGCTGCTATACACACTGGTTATTTTTAAAAACGTGGAACAATGAAACAGATAATTCTTTAAAAGATTCTAAAAAATTCTAAAGAAGTCGAATGATTAAAAAATATTGTTTAACTGCAGTATTTTACATTTGAATGATTCTGATATAAAAAAATTATATTCTTTCTCTCTCTATTCATCGCGAATGGACTTTTAACATATTATAAATGGTGCGATAAAAATTCACCCAACGTCCGACGATATTTTTTACCATTCATTTCGATACAGATGATGTCACGATTGCCATTTGTCCTGGGATCTGCAACAGTTCTGAAAGTGTTTACATAAGAACCTTCGTACACTTTGTGCAATGCCATGGGTATAGATGTGCAGTACTTAATTACGTCGGTGTTCTGTCCAGTGTAAAAGTTACTGCGCCACGAATTTTTACATATGGTAAGTGAAATATGTATGTTTAAATATCGTTCTCTTTACAGAATATTCTCTATCGTAATCCTGGAAATTGTTACAACCAATAATTTGATAGTTCAGTTACAGTTCACGGTCCCTCGTGGAGTTCATGGTTTTCGAGCGTAAACAGTGACACCCTGGAGATAGTCTTTATCGTTTGATAATAAAAACAAAATTATTTGTTTTAGACGATTATTGCAATTTTGTGGGTTGCACTGCAAAAACCTGCATCGGGCGCAGGATCTTTGTTGCCCCCAAAACTGGCCCCCTTATCATTCTCAGATTCTAAAATCTTCTTTTAAAATCTATGATCCACTTTAGAAAAAAATCCTAGCTGCGTTTTCTATAAAAAAGAAAAACAGCATAGCTTGACCTACCTTTTAATGATTTCTAAAAGGACACCGCTTACGCACGAAAGTCATGAATAATATTAACTTGAAGAACCTAGGTCATGACACTCTCAAGGATCTCGTGTTGCCGTATAATCGGCGAGGCGTTAATTGAATTTGTAATTGAACGTTGGCTCGGCGTAAATTTTACAGGACACACTGACGATTACCACACGATGATACAGAGTTTGGTGGAAAAGCATCCGAACACAAAAATAATTTGCATTGGATTTAGCTTGGGCGGTAATCTCGTCACTAAGTATTTAGGGGAACGAGGATCGAATAAAATATCCAACATAATCGGTGGCATATCTATTTGCCAAGGATATAATGCCCTTGAGTAAGTACTCATTAATTTTCATAGAATAAAACACCTGTAGTACCTGCGATTCATTGACTTCTTTTTCTCTTTATAGAGGTACAAAGTTCCTGCTCAACTGGCAAAACTTCAGACGCTTCTATCTCTACATTATGTCGGAATCGGTGAAGAATATTATTTTAAAGCATAAGAATATTTTGTTGTCGGATGAAGTTAAACAAAAGTACAATTTAAATGAACGGGATATCATTTCCGCTGCTACGTTACCGGAACTCGATGAAGCTTACACGAGGAAGGCGAGGATTAATATAATAACCGTATATCCCCCTAAATGCATCCATGAAACTTATGTATTAATTTAAAATATCGTTATGTAGGTACATAACTTTAGATCTGTAAAGGAAATGTACAAATGGAGTAGCTGCCTTTTCTATTTGGATAACGTTACTACACCCATGGTATTCATCAACGCGTTGGATGACCCCATTGTACCTGAAATGTTGTTAGAGCCCATAAAGGAACATGCGAGTAGGTATAAATTATTCCTCTGAATAGCACATGATGGTGCAGAATATACTGTTCAAAACTTGATAATTAAATCATAATCCTCATTCATTAAAAGTTACTAAATTATTTATGTCTCTTTTTCAGAAAACCACCCTAATACGGTGTACATAGAATTAGCCCATGGTGGACATCTGGGATTCTACGAAGGTGGTCTTCTCTATCCAAACCCCATCACATGGTTAGACCGTACATTGGTCTCCCTCGTTGGATCTCTGACGTTAGCGCACGCAGATAAATCACTGAAAGCCTCTTAACCTGATTTCACTTCATCGTCATAATTACTTCCTAAGTAAAACGTTCAGCCGTCAATCGGTGTGGTACATGATCCTACAGTCTTGTTATAAGATCTTGATCATGGTTCGAATACCAAGAAAGTAACTGCACGATAAATATGAGATTCTAGTGTAGATCGTCTCAGGATTCGTGAGACGGTGTACATTGCAATCGCGGATTTAAGCAAAGAGAAAATAGATTGAACGGTGGACAATATTTCATGAAGCTGTCTCGACAAAATTAATAGTTTTGACGAATGAACCGGAGAGAATCATCTTTACACAACAGAAACACTTCGACGATGATTTATTTATCTTATGTCCTGATCATTGACGCTTTTCACTCAGGGATCTTTGATAGGGCAATTTGATAAGGGAATGCTGGAACGTAGAAGTCATAGAAAAATCGTAGAGAAAAACTGGACTAATTGATCGGATTAATAAAAAAACGATAGGAATTCCCGCTTCTTCTTTACAGACTGAGAAAAATTAAAAGATGATTGATTTTTTAACGAGAAGACGTCTTATTAAATTAATAAAATACCACACTTACAGTATTTCTACTGCTATTAATAGCATTAATGATTTATAATTAAATTTTCTTTTTAAATTTAACTTTCTGAACCATGATGTATTATTAATAGCAATGAAGATTGTAAGTTACAAATTTAAAAAAGCGGAAAAGAGAATATAGAATTCGTTCTCTCCAGAAAAATTAGGGTTTACATATCCTGTGTTCAATGATATAGGACAAGCATTAATTCATATTTAATTTATTGTGTGAGTAGAACAGTAGCACTAACTTTATTAACATGGAAAACATATACATAAAGAATATATTTTTTCTACGGTTATATTACTTAGCATATGTAAATTTTGTTCATCTTCTTTCAAATCAATTAAATTTAATATATATTTCGACATATATACATATTGATTGATTGATTGATTGATTAACTGATTGAGTATGTATATGTATTTCCTTGTTAATGAAGTTTATACACAAAGCATTTAAAGTTGAAATGAAGTTAATATATATTTTGTTTCAAGCTGACTCGAGCGATACCACAATGAGTTATTTGTACAACATTATCTCTCTAATATAACATTGATGTTTTTAAAAATCAGAAAATTTAAGACTTTGTTTCACTTTTAATCATTGTGACAAAAGATACAAAATGTTGTGGTCCAATTACAATATTATTATTAAACTCATTAAGTGGTTTCCATACAATCGATGTGACTTAATTGTAACGATAAGATAAATCATCGAAATATCCCAAATACTTTGAAACGTAAACTAGCTTTCTATAAATATTGTTCAATTATCGCGTACGAATATCCCCCATGAAAATGCATATAAAGACAATAATATCGCAACTATACGTTTTCTTTTTGCAACGAACAGTTACTTAATATTTTAGTTATCGGATTTAAGTTATTTATTCGTAGGGTAAATTCTGCGTAGGTGCAACTAATAGTTAGTTAAGTTTCCCTGAATAACGATCGTCTCGTTATTAATCAGCATATTTTCAGACTGTCGTATATTTAACATTGTATATAAAGTTACGAACAATTTATATGTGTGGTAACTTACGGATATTTATATATTAATGTACAATGTAAGAGAAGAACGGAATTAAACGAATGATTGCAAACGACAGAAAAGAATTTACTACACGCGCACATTACAAAGTTTTGTGAATTTAGACAACTTTTTGTACCAATTTTCTTTGCAATACTACTGTCGTTTAGGGTGCTTGTTTTTGAGTGACAGAAAATGTGTTTATTTCTATTCTATCGACCAATAATTTCATTTGATATATGAACAAGTATAGAAAATCTATACTTAAACGTGTACCCCATAATGTATGTTTGTGTAAACATGAGGTGCTTAAAGCAGAAAGTGCCTTAGATTCAGTTCTGCTATCACATTCATCGGAAATCAAACATCTGTTTGAACCATAGTTTGTAAAATTATTTTTTCATTGATTGTACGCAACTGATAGATTAGAAATAGATTGTTGTTGTAAGCATTTTTGTATTCTATCCAATGAAGGGTTTGTTACTTCCAAGCAATTGTATTTTGTAACAAATAAGTTGTCTGCACTGAAAATAAATTTTCTCCTTGGATGGGTACATGAACAATTATGTTTGTATCATTAAAAGAAACATCCTTTGTTGAGACGTGAAGCGTTCAATTTTAAAATGTGGAAACGTTGAATATTAATGGAAGAAATGGATATAGTGCTATGTATTCGTAATTATAATATGCTTAATTATCAGTTAAACATCGTTACAATATTTTCGGTTATTGACGCAGATGAAGTCATTAACACTGTGTACATAACTGGAGGATATTCACCATGCGAGGAACATGTGGCGTTGAAAACAAACAGAACAAAAATAGTTGAACCTTTTTTACAGCTCATCGTCGGTTAAGCACAAAATCATTCTTAAAACCTACGAAAACCCCTCTATAATTTAAACAAAAATGGATAAATTCTAAATTGAACTATCTGTAAATAAAAATATACACACAATCCTTGATGTAACTGGGATGAGTCACCTTAACTTTGCCAAACATTTATTTTTATCAAAATGAGACTATACAAGAAAAGACCAAGGATTGCCTAATTATACCAATGAGTACATGCTTCCAATTCTTTGAAACAAATTGCTCCCTGGGAATTTGGGATATCAAGTGGAAAGAAGAAAATAAAAATATACACACAATCCTTGGTGTAACCGGGATGAGTCGCTTTAACTTTGCTAAATACATTTACTTTTATCAAAATGAGACTACAGAAGAAAAGACCAAAGATTGCCTAATTATACCAATGAGTACATGCTTCCAATTCTTTGAAACAAATTGCTCCCTGGGAATTTGGAATATCAAATGGAAAGAACAAAATAAAAATATACACACAATTCTTGGTGTAACCGGGATGAGTCACCTTAACTTTGCTAAATATATTTACTTTTATCAAAATGAGACTACAGAAGAAAAGACCAAAGATTGCTTAATTATACCAATGGGTACATGCTTCCGATTCTTGGAAACAAATTACACACTGCTCCCTGGGAATTCGGTGTACCAAGTGGAAAGAAGTAGCGTTGTAATGGTAGCGTTGAAGTGTCAAGCCTTATGTTACCGACACATGCTTGCTAACAAGAAGGTATCACGATGCTGTTAGGAGAAACGATCAGTCAGTAGAGTGCAAACACTCGAAGTGACTGGATCGAATAGGCGAGCTCTAGTCTGTGTCGAAACGTCAACAAGGAACGGCATTCATCGGACGTGCAGAGATCATGAAGCAATTAATATTCTCCTTAATAACGTTGCTCGTTTCGGCGCACGTGAACTTGTTACCTTTAGGGAATTACAAAGCCCTTCGGGAGGAGATACTAGAGTACGAGCAACGGCTGATGATAGGGTCCAATTTGAACTTGAACGATGTCGAAAAGCAGGCCAACAAGATCTTAATGAAAGCGAAGAGGGAAGAATTGGACGCTGGTTCGTTTTACGCTCTTTCTAGATTCTCTCCAATCAAACATGCAATCGCGAACATCTAGGAAACCAGTTTAATAAGTAACACGTGCTACTCGATTCGTCGTTACGTTATGTTGTAAGTAGAGGTGGGATTGAAGTATATCGTAGGTTCGAATCTGATGGATTAGTTTTGAATATGTATAATTATTTGAAAATAAGAAAGTCAGTTATCTTCTACGTTTATCAATGTATTCAAAAGGTTTGAGTTTCTTCTACCAGTATCTCTAATTCAGATGTTATCTTGTAAACAATTCTTTAATCTCAGCTCTTCAAACGAAATCTTATCTTCGAATAAAAGAAGAATCGTGTGAAATAACGATTTACGATTCCACGGTTCCTTCTGTCTTTCACTATTTTCATTGTCAAGAATCGTACTTGAGCCCAGATTTCGCAAACCGGACACGTTTCTCCTCTCCAATCTGCATACCCCTTTTCTTACAAATTCTTTCAGCCTTCAAGAACCCGGAGCTGTTCGCCCCTGCACAAAACTTCATCTCGGCGAGGAAGTACATTGATCGATCGAAAGTCTTTCAATTGCTTCGTCTGATGCCGAAGGGTGCAGTGTTGCACGCTCACGATACGGCCATCGTCAGTGCCGATTACATCTATCATAACATCACCTTCCGGGACGATTTATACATCTGCGGCAACGGTAGTAATATCAGGCTACAGTTCTTCCGGGAACCGGATCAGACATGCGACTGGGAGCTGCTGAAGAAGGTGCGAGAGGACCCGATCCGAGGCACCGGTGTCAACAATATGATCATGAAGAAGATGTCGATGATTTGTTCCGATCCTAAGCGAGACTACCCGAATGTGGATAAAGCGTGGTCCAAGTTCTTGGACATCTTCAAATTCGTCGATCCTTTGTTAACGTATAGACCTGTTTATGAAGATCACTTCCTCGAAGCTCTCAGACAGCTTCACGAGGACAATGTGATGTATCTTGAGCTGAGATCCACCTTGCCAACTTTATACGATTTCGAGGGTACGGATTATCAACCCGAAGATCTGGTTGGCATCTACAAGAATCTTACCCAAAGGCTAGTAATCATTCGTTATTCATTTTCCTGCAATCTTCATCGTTAATTCTTCAGAATTGTTCATTTTCTTCATTATAAAATTCAGTAAGGGCCATCTATGCCTCGTACAACAAATGTATAGCTGAAGAGATCAGGGTTTATCAAGGTTTATCCTTTATTCAGATTCAAGGAAGAACATCCGGATTTCGTTGGAGCGAAATTGATTTATGCGCCCAGTCGATCCGGTAATCTGACGGTTGCAAAGCAATACATGAAGATCTTAAAAAGGCTGCGGGAATTGTATCCGAATTTCGTGGCTGGGTTCGATCTAGTCGGTCAGGAAGACAAAGGCCATACTCTCGAGTATTTCGCGGAGATAATAAAGAACGCCGAGGATCGAGATATAAATTTCTTCTTCCACGCGGGAGAAACGAAGTGGTTGGGTTCTTCGACCGACGAGAATCTTGTTGATGCTATTTTGTTCAATTCTCGACGCATTGGTCATGGGTAAGTAAAAGACTGTTTCATTTAATTATGAAAAATTTTGCAAATGGCATACTATCGTTTAACTTTTTTAATTAAATTTCTAATATGTTGCCTAATTATTTGAATTATCTCTTTCTAAATGATGTAAGTCAACTTTTCTTCGTACTCTATTTAAAAAAATTAAATATGGTTCGAGTGAGTTCCGCTTATGTAACAAGCGGACATTTAACATTTTAATCTTAAATAGATATATAATTATCTAGTGTACCCAATGAATTAGATCAAGATAAGATTAGATCAAAATAAATGACTAATTTCTTTTTATAAATGTATAGCTTAATACTGAATTCCTTAAAAATTGCAATATCTATGATTTATTAAAATTATTAAAATTTCATTTGAGACGAATCTGCTTACCAAGAATGCTCGTTTATATCTTGAATTTATCCAATTTTTATTATAGGTATGCATTGTCCTCTCACCCTTTCCTCATGGAAATGACCAAGCGATTGGACATCGCTATAGAAGTGAACCCTATCTCCAATCAAGTCCTGAAGCTCGTAGATGATATGAGAAATCACCCAGCTAAGGTCCTGTTCGCCGAAGGATATCCGGTAGTGATATCGAACGACGATCCTGGCTTCTGGGATGCAGAGGCGCTCTCTTACGATTTCTACCAGGCCTTCATGGCACTGATGTCCGCCCATTCCGATCTCAAAGCACTCAAACAATTGGCCATGAATTCCATTTCTTACAGCAGCATGACTGATGCTGAAAAGAAGGATGCATTTGCTATTTGGGAAAAGAAATGGGACACCTTTGTGGGTTCTGTGGCTAATAACAAACTCTAGGACTATAAATAGATAATTTATACTTATACATGGAGAATAATTCAAATGGTATTGACTGCAGAGTGTACAAATGACTTGATAGGTATTCAATGAGATACAGGTAATGGTAATATTGTGACTGGTCTGTGGATATTTAGGAATTCATGGTTATAATTTACATAAATATTCGCAGTCTAATTATAACAATTATTTATCGTGACTTCTGCATTTAAAAATTAAATACTTTCTAAAATGCATTTCAAAATTTATATATGCGTTCAAGTTTATGAATAAACCAAATGAATTAGAATACGTATAGCGTTTTAGCAAATAGATAGTCATTGCTTCGAAGCTAATGCTTACATCGAATTAACATAATTCTAAATTGTTTCAAATAGTATCTCCATTGCGCGTCAATGGCTTGTAATTATATTCGCACGTTATACGTGGTACATTCATATCCTGAAACTGAATCATAACAATAACCGCCAATAACGAATTGATAATAAAACCGGTTCCCGATATAATTTATTTTATTCAAGGATAGAACGTGATTTACCTGGAAGTCGTTTTTTTCGCGAACATGTCTCATACGCGTCATTTAATTTCATTTAAAATCCCTTTCCTTCCGTTCGCGTGACCGTATAATTAAATCGTCGCCTGTAGACTGCCTATTGAAAGCCATGCAATACGCACTTTTTTGTTGTCTGTTTACAAACGAAAAAGAAGAAAATAACGAATAGAATTACCGCTTAATGAGAGGGTGTGAATATACGTGAAAATTAACCGACTACAAAAGGGCGCAATACCCAAACGTCTGATTTGGAATGCTATTACTTTGAAAATGATGTTACCAGCACCATCTAACAGTGTGCTGTTGAATTGTAATAAAAAGTTGATAATGAGATACCTTGATTCCACAGATAAAGATGAATAGTTCATCTTTATTTCTTTCAAGGCATTTGAAAGGCATTATTTGAGGCATCTTATCTATACAGCACTTCTAACAAGTTCAGGAAGTCAACTACTACGCAGGAAACGCGTAAGCAAGCTTTGAACTGTTTAAACTTCGTTAATAGCGGCAATCTACCACTAGGTGGCTATAGAGTGCTAAACATTGAGGCCGAACTCCGAATTCCGCGTCGGTAAAACAGCCCACGTTTCATTGAAAATTAGGTCAGTTATTGCATTAAACTAACGGCATGTTATACTACGTCACTTTTCGCATACACCATGCATTCAGAACCTCAAAGGCAT